AGCCGGGTGTCCTCGTGGCGGGAGGAGCTGGCGCTGCGAGCACGGGAGCTCCTGTGCAGGGCGCACGCAGGTTCAGGGAGCGGGGCTAAATCACCTCAGCCCCTGAGCGGAGAGCGGGAGGACGCGCTGGGATCCATAGTCCTTCCAGCCCTGCGGAGGAGCCRCTGGATGCGAGTTGCTGCACAGACGGGGACAGGTCCCCTGGAGAGCAGCGCGGGCGGGAGCGGGAGCAAGGCCASCTCCTCTGCCCTGCGCCGCTCCCGGCGGCCGGTCGTTCCCTCCAGCAGGAGCTGCAGCAAAGGCAGCGCCCCCGGAGCTTCGGGATGCGCCGGCTGCCGCCCAGGTGCCTTCCAGGAGAGTGTCCACGTCCCGGCCGCCCATGCGTGCCCGGAGGCCGCTTTGACCCTGCCTGTGCTTTCCTTAGCAGATCGGTGCTGGCAGGAGCGCCGTCGGGAGCGAGTCTGTGCAGCTCCAAGGTGATGATGACCAAGGCCAGCGTGGAGCCCTTGGGCTGCAGCAGCTGGTGGCAGGCGCTGCAGTGCTGCAGCTGCCTGGTCCGGAGCGCCGCGTGGCGGGAAGGATTCGTCTGAGGGCGCCTGGAACCGTCGCTTGCTACTGCACAGGAGGCTGCGCATATATATATGTACATATATATTTTAAAAAAGCAGAGGTCAGTGAACTTTGTATGTTTTCGTATGTTAGCCACCTGAGGTGGAGACTAATTTTGACTCATACCAGGAAGCCCAGAGGGTTTCCCCTTTTTTTGTGTTTTGTGTTTGTACTTGCCAACCACGGAAGCATTTTTGAGCTTATGATGAATGTAAAAGGTCTGTGTTTCCTAACGGTTTCTGAAGTTTCTACGTTATCCAGATGGCTCTTTGGGGAACCAGTTCAGGCCAGCAGATACAACTGGAGCCAGCCCCACAACTATGATTGTACTCGGAATTCCCTGAGGAAACAAGCACCTGCAGGAGGCAGTTCTCACAATCAGCAGCCCAAGGTGGCTTAAAATTTGCACATTACCGTAGAAGGGGGTCCAGGCTGTGTCCATATCTCATGATTCTTGCCTTACTAGCACATGCTCCTTTCTCAAAGATGCAGTTCGTTTCTATCAAATATTTAGCAACTGCGACGTGAACTAAGTGCCAGAATGGGGTAGTCTGATTGCCTAAAACAGGGGTGAATTATTAGTGGGATGAAAAGGGAAATGTTTTAAGAAGACCCGTATGTGAAATGTAGCCAAAAACTGACAGCTTTCTATGTACAGTATTAATAGAATGGAGAGAGTTAGAAATATTTTTGCAGTGTGTATTTAAAAAAAAAAACAACATATAGCATTATGAGAATCTTTTTAACCTCCCTTTTAGTTGTCCTTTAAAAATGGGAGTACATTTTTTGAGAAAGAAAAGTTTTAAATATTAGTACATTTAAATAAATTTACTGTAACGTTCTTGAAAAGACTTGCAGATAGCTGAAAACAGGCAGCTTGCAAAGCACCTTGAGGAGAATGCGTATGCGTGTGTATGTGAGCATCTATGTTTTCTAGTATTATTTGAAAAATGAGTTGTTTCCTTAAAAAAACAATTATTTAAACTTTGCAAAACGTAGTGCTTACAATCTTTAGGAAATCCATTGGTGTTGCTGTGTAAAGATCCCAGTGAAGCTTACCTAGTATAATTCTGCCCATGCTCAAGATCCCAGCTGGCGAGCATTCACGACCGCTCTGCGCCGCGAGCATCTTCACCRATGGCATTACCTGTATTAAAAAAAAAAAAAAAAAAAAAAAGGAAAAAAAAAGAGAAAATATTAAAAAATAAAGAGGCCAACTTCCTAGCCGTGCTGCGTGCGCCTGTGTGTGTTGCCAAGGGCCCGCGGAGCCCTCCCGGGCTGCTATGGGGCGGTTCGTGCCGTCTCCTTCCCCATGGCATTCACTTGGCTTCTCCTTCTGAGCTTTGCGGAAAAGGGGAGTAACGTGGAGGCGGCAGGTCCTGGAAGAGGCTGGGGCAGAAATTCAGAGGTTGGGGGCAGAAATTCAGGAGAAATTCTCATCTGACCCCAGCGCCCGGCTGCTGCTGTGACTCAYGGCTCTTCCTTGTCCTTTTTCAAAGCGGAATGGAGGAAAGGGAAGAAACGTGATGTGAGCTGCTGCCCGAGGGCTCGCTGGCCCAGAGGAGGCTACGGGGGCTTCTGACGCCAAGTTTTAGCTGCAAGCCCTGGATAATCACCCTGTGCAAGCTCGGCCTACCCTGAGTCATTCCCTGAACACGTTTGGTAACAAGCAAAACTCACCCAAATTCCTCATTTCAGACAAATTTTAAGCTTCGTGACAGAATTAGGGAGGCTTCATGAGCACAAAACTGCAGCCCAGCCCACACATGGCTGCAGGCCATGGATTCTGGGGGGGAAAAGGGAGGTTTTGGGGCAGATGAGGGAAACAGATCCACTGCACAAGCAGTGGACACAGGTCCTTCAGCCATGCAAGTCGCAGCCTTTCCAAACAGCAAGTGAACAGAACTGAAAACGCTGCTGTCATTCCCCTTAGGAATTACTTAGGGTTATCAAGCTGACACGTTTTTGTTATGGCCAACTTGTTAAAAGACTTGGAACTGCAAATAACTTGAAAACAACCAAAGATGGATTTAGTGCATTCAAAATTAATCATACAGATCCCATCATCTTTATTGGYTTTTGCTGCAAGGACAAGGCAGGAAATTGCTGTGCACTCAAGATATTTTAATTGGGCCTGAAGGGAGAAGAAGAAAAACACTGAGCAGAGAAGATAGCAGTTGAGAGGGGAATAGCTGTCATTCTGCTACAGATACACAAGTTCCAGGCTTTAATTTGGGTTATAATTGCTTCTGAATTAGCTAGCTGCAGAAGGAGACAGTCGAAGCTGGAAACAGCAAGGAAATCCAGAATAAATCCTCTTATTGCTGCAGGTTTTACTGAGGTGCCCTGTGATTTGGACTGAGCAATGCCAAATACCTACATGCAGTATTATGCCTATTCTCAACTAGGTAGGAGACTTGGCTTTCCCAAATGTCAGCCTAAGCAGGAGTGGGCAGCAAGATTCAGTTCTACTCATAGCTTTGCTGTCACTTCAATCACAGGAAAAGAAGGGCCCACAATTGGAGTGAAAACTGTGGTTTCATGACTGAAAGGTTAAAGTGATAGTGAAAATGTGCTCTGCTTAGCAGAGACGACCAGGTGATCATGAATTCTCTGCATTTATCACAGCGTTGGSACCACAGTTCATAACAATTCATAACTGTTGAGGGCTGTCGATGAGGGAAGCGTCTCCAGCTCCTCCTCCTTYGCTGCCGCCAGCAGCCGCTCAGGATGCCAATAACCAGGGCCAGCGTTTCGGGCTAAAACTGGAACCGGGAGCTTATTTCTGCAATCCAGAGCGCCGCCTCCTCCTAGCACCACAGAGAGATCCRTGCCCTGGGGGGAGAAACGAAGTTAAAATAAAGACACGTTAGTCCTTTGATGATTTTGTTAACCTGTCCCCAAAGGCAGCCTCCTGAGGCGCTCCCAGTGTCTCGTTAACATTTCAGGCGCCCGCGGGAGTGAAATGAAGGAGCTTGTGGCTACACAAGGGCCACAGGACCCTATTCCCCCAGCCTGTCCTTGCCTGTCCCGGGCTGCAGCAGCTTGGTTTGGTTAAGCTCAGTTCAGTTCTGTTCAGCCCAGCCCAGCCCATCCTGACCCAACCTGTCCCTTCCCAACCGGACCTGTCTTGTCCCATCCCATCCCTTACGTGGCCTGACCCATCCCAACCCATCAAGCTACGACCTGATCCAATCCATCCTGTCCCTGCCCCAGCTCTATCCCCATCAGAACCTATCACAACCCACCCTATCTGGAACCCATCCCATTCCAACCCATCCCACCATGGTTCAGCTCATCCCACACAGTCCCAGTCACTCTGGGGTTCTTGGCGGTTCTTGGTCTGGTGTTCTGGCCCCCAATTGTGGGGCCTTCCGCACCTTCCCTGGATCCACCAGCCCTTTGGCACCTTCCCCACATCTCTTTTTATTCCCTATCAACTTCCATCTTTCCTGACCGCTTTCCTGGCCTCTCTCCTTCACTGCAGGGTTTTTCTCATGCAGCACTTTCCGCAGGGCGCCACTTCCCATGCTTTATGCTAAAATCTCCTCTCATTCCCACGGAGCTCCCTGTTCTCCCGCTGGGCCTTGGTTGGGGTGATGCATTTTTGGTGCTGAACAAGCCCCTTGGTCCGGGAGCCTTTGCACGGGGTTACTTTGCCGAGTAACGCGGTGACAACAGGCGGCCAGAGAAGGGACGGCGCCGAGCACCGTGCGGGTTGCTCCTGACTCACGGGGTGACGAGCCCTGTCATTCGTCATTCCCGCGTGTCCCCAGCCCCGCGGCACCGGCTGACGGTGCTGGCCCCGGATCCCATCCGTGTCCCACGCTGCGGATAGGGCCTGGGGGATTCAAGGCCCGTTCCTGTGTGTGCCGCTTGTTGTCACTCTGCTCTGGGTGACACAGAGGGGACGGTGCCAGCATTCGCTACAAGGGGGATCCAGGGTGCAGCAGTCGGAGCTCGGGGCAGCGAGAAACACATGAGAGAAAGGAGAAAAAGGCGGAAATTAGCTCTGCGGGGCRGACTGTGCGTCACCCCATAGGCCCGGCACCCCAGAGCGCTGTCACCCTCAGTGAACTGTCACCCCTCCCAGAGCTCCTTTACACTGTCACCTCCCCTAGAATCCCGTCACCCTCGGGGTCCTGTCACCCGCAGAGCCCTGTCACCCCCACAGTCCTGTCACCACCCCTGCAGCCCTGTCACCTCCACCAGAGCCCTGTCACCCCCTCAGTGCCTTGTCACCCCGCTAGAACCTGTGACTCCCAGAGCCCTGTGAGCCCCCAGGGCCCTGTCACCCCCTAGATGCCACCCCGAGCCCTGTCCCCTCCTCATAGGGCACCCCGAGCCCTGTCACCCCCCTAGGTGTCACCCCAGACCCCTCGGGGCCCCGTCACCCCCACGGGAGCCGCCCCGACCCCGGCACCGCCATTAGCGGCCGCCCTCACTCCCCACCGCCCCCTCGCCGTGGCCATGGCGACGCGCCCCGCCCGCCGCCGCCGCCGCCATTGGCTGCGCCG